TTTAAAATTATAATCTTTATTTTGGAAAAAGAGAAAGATACTCAATCTTATTTGCGAAATAGTTACAAGTTGTGCATGGAGTCAAAGCAATTTTGTGAACTTCTTAAACCTAGGAAAGAGGTCATATTAATCTGTATTTTCAGCAGGGTTGTTACCTTATAATTAGGCCATTTCATACAAGGCAGAAAAAAAAAAGCTATTATTCAGTATTTTACCATCATTTTGGAGAGAATATATTTGCAAAATGTCAATGATTCTGTTAATGGGCACTCATCCCCAAATTCACTGCAGTAACTAGCATTGGACAAGAAATGAAGATTACAAAAGAAGTCATTTAAATAACACAAACATTTCCTTCCTTATTACACTCATGAAAATGGAAATCAAGGAAAGAAATGGTCCAATGGCTAACCTTTGTGGATTGAATGACTAAGATACAAATACTTTCTTCCTTTTTCAAATGCCATATTGACACTTTATACCTTTCTGAAAAATGTAAAGACACTGTACAGTAGACTTACGGTTCAATACAAGAACATTTAAGCTTCTCTGTAGCATATGCAAAGTGATTTGCACAGGCGTAGGGAAATTTGGTCTGTCTGGGATGAAGATCATTATTATTCACCTGGTAACTAATAATTGAGTTTGGTGTACAAAATATGTTTTGGAATAAAAATGCCTTATAAATATCAAATGTATTCTGCAGTAATATTGTATTTATCAGTTATATGCATTTCATATAATAAATGCAATTTTCCTTTCAGCTTTTAAAATCTCTAACCACAGATTTATATATATATATATATATACACATAGATATTTTTCTTAAATTCAAGATATTATACATATATATTTCAATTAATCAAATATTTATTGTGTAACTCCTTGATCCTTGCATAATACTAGAAACTTGAGATATGGTTTTGAACAAAACAGAAACAGCTTCATACTTTCTGAAACATAGGACCAGTCAAGATGAACTATAGTGTGTTTATGGGAAAAGATAACTTTCTTACTTTGATTTGGTCAGAATGTAATCTAAAATTAGGAACTACAACAGAAGTTACCTTATAAATGTTGGGTGCAAATTCCATGGTACTTTTCCAATTAAATCTAACAATTATTTTATTGAGTAACTACTGCTCTTGGTTTGATACTATAGATACAGCACTGAAAAGTATTTTTTGCCTTTGTTGAGCTTAGTGTAATTATGTTTCAGTTACAAATAATGTGCTACATATAAGTTAAATTCAAAATATTGAAAGCTAGTGTGGATTACAATTTACTCTAAATACAAAAAGATTCCTGACATCTTTTACTTGAGTTGCATGTATTAATCTAGTCGAAAACATTTGAGGCACAAACATATTTAAGTATTTACTGGAAATTTTCAGTAATGAAATGATGCTTTTTTCATAGATGTCATGTCTAATATATTTTACTACATTTAATCATGACATTTATCAAAAAGAGACAGTTCTGTTTTGTCAACTTGCCAGAAATATTTGTTATAAAATATGATAAGAAAACTCATAGAAGCTTTTTTCTACCAGTTGATTAAATGACCAAGAATCTATCTGTGTCTCTCTCACTTTACTCTGATATATTTTCTGCAGTGGAAGTCAAATGAAATGAGATGCTTTGAGCTCATTCACATATTCAACATTTTGTTTAGTTTCTGTATTCATTCAGACATTTTGCATATGTGTTTGAATATCAATTAAATGTGTCCCTCATTTGCCTAGCTTTCTTAACATTTATTTGTTACTTTATTTCATGTTAGTGGGAGGGAAACTGTTGGTGTAACACAGGTGATTTCTTCCAATAAATCTTTGATAAAACTTATGGAACTCATGGTTATTCTTGTGTGTTACCACAAGATCTAAATATAAACAGAAATTTTTTAACTCTTACTAGATAAACATCTAACCAAGCTTTTCTCTTTTCCTAATCCTTGTCCCTCTTTCTTATCTAAAAAATACAGTCAAGCCTCTGTGGTCAACCAAGACAGGTATTCATTCTAACAAGTAAATAATTTGTGTCTCTAAGACCTTTCTTACAGGTTAGTATCTATTCTCTAGAGTTTTTTTAGTCCAGAAATAAACTTACATGAATATATTTTCTTACAAAAATATATCAAGTGTATATTTTTAAAATGTGAAGTTATAAAATCAATGAAAACTTTAAGACTATATATAAATGCTATTAGAACATTACTTCCTGACACATATTTAGGTAATCGGGTTAATAAAAAGACAGTGTAAGATTGCATGTTAAAACTGTTTTATAAGTATCAATAAAATTCTACATTCTCTGACTGTGAGGTTTTAACATTTAACAGCAGAATATGGTTTATACAAAACATAAAGAAAAAGATATTTTCAGGGAAAACAATATCTAAATAAACTACCCATCATTAATTCCTAAACATTTATAAATCTTCCTACCAGAATTGCTAACAGATGCTAAGTTTTGAATTAGGGATGATGAAAGTATCATCTGGATTGATCATGTGTCTTAATTTCAAATTTTAACATGTAAGATTATGCTGGATTTATTATTGCCTCCTTTCTAAATCCCTTTTCCAAGTATAAGCCAAGCTCTTGAGCAGACTATTTCTAAGAAACAAATGTCAACATTCATAGCAGATTAATATTGTTGAAGAAAGGGATTTGATAAGACTATTATTCAGTATAATATAATCTGATTCTATTTGAAACATTTTAGATAGGAAGTTGGAGATGGATACTGTGTTCTTTTGTATGAACTATTTGATATACAGTGTGACTCCTGAAAAATACACACTGTTTCTGCAATGTTTGAGCTATTACCTTTTCACTTTTTTTTTTTAAGTAGAACTTTTCTAAATGTAGACTGAAAAATAACCTTCATTTCCTGGATAGCAGTCAAAATCTCCTTTCTTTGTCACCTAATGGAGAATTATTCCTAGAGCAGAAGAGCATCACCTAATGTCTCATGAGAAAGCTATTAGTATGAGATCGTCACATTTCTTAGATAAAAACTTAATGCCAAACATTAATGTAGAAATCCATTTCACAATCTTTCTTATGTCTTACATCTCCCTTTTGCTTTGATGAAGGTTGTATGGTTAGGTCATAAAAAATAATGAACTGAGTTTTAGAAGTAGAAAGATGATCTAATTTCTTTTTCCTCACTGAAGAAATGGAACGAATAGTCAGTGAAACGGCTGATGATGAAAATGGGAGTGATTTTAAATGTAGAAAGAACTGGAATATCAAAGTTAATCTAGAGGATTTCATACGTACAATGCAGTAAGACACTTGGGATGTGACCACCAGTCCACAAATAACCCTCTTGTGGTACCACACATTCCTTTAGTTTATTTATCTCTCTTTAGTTTAAGGTGACGCCTACAAATTTAGCTTGGGCTTCCACACAAGAGAGATGAATTTCTCAAGGCTACCAAGGGAGACAGTGTTATTTGCTTTCCCAATATCCATGTTCCTCTTCGTCCTTACTAATACTCTGGTTGGTCTGGGTTTTATCCCAGTAGCAGTATCTCCACTTAAATGGTGACTTATTCAATCCCTGTTATGGTAGAGGTAGCCATGGGATATGGTTCTGGCCAATGAAATGCAGACATAATCCTTGAGGAGAGCATTTCTTCCCAAATAAAAAGTCACAGCTTCACTAGGAGGAAGTCTCTTGCTTGCTCTTCTAACTTCATCCTGCCTGCAATTCAGAAAGACTGCAGTTCAGTTTTTAGATGTAGCAGCCATCTTGTGCTGGAAGTGAATAAAACTGACACACTACAGATGGCAGAAAGGTGATGGGTACTGCAGATCAGCTCAACTAATATCTGCACCTGCCTCCTACAGGCTTCTTATATGAAAAAAAATCCCCTATTTCTGTAAACTGTTAATTGGGTTTTTAGTACTTGTAGTTGAACACTTTATGGACTGATGCATGATTTCTCTTAAATTGCTTTTGTATTGAACAAGAGGGGAAAATGTGGTACATATTGGGCAGGAAGGAGCTACGTGTATTTCTAGCTAATTTCTTAAATTAATAAGGATAATATTTTCCGAGGATATATCTCAGTTTTTATTTTCCTGGATAACTTAAAGATGTCTGAAAGAGAATTCATTTCTGTGGTCATTGTTTGCGGAAGACAAATTAGCTAATCAAGGCCAGTGTTGTGAAATAAAGAATCAAGTACAAATTGGCTTTGGTGCATGTTATCCCACAGCTATATCCTTATTCCAGTGAACCACAGGATTTGCTATATCTTGCTTGTGTTGTTAAAGAATAATTGGTAATCCTATCAATTTCACTTGAGGTGACAACATTTTTGTGATTGAGACATTAATTTTAGCTTCCACTTTGTGCTAATTACCTACCTACTGACTGCAGTCAATGTCACATTGACTGAAACAATCTCTTTAAGGATAATTTGTCAATTGATACCAAAAATTTTAAAAATATCCACAGTCTATGACCTTGGAATGTCATGTGTGGAAATTTGCTTTAAAGACTAATCAGAGATAAATAGTTAAATTACAGACAAGAGGGGATTGCTTAGGTAATTACTATTTAATTTATACTATGACATATCCTATTCTTATTAAAATAATACAGAGTAGTAATTACCATTAAATACTCATTATATGATGTTAAACAAAACAAGCAGGTTATAAAATATTGTATAAAGTATTATTTCAATTCCAGGGAAGAAAACTGACAATAGACTTATAACATTTATATCAAAATGTTAGGATTGTTACTCTTAGAGTATATGAATATGAGTGGTGGTTTTCACTTTTGTAATTTTCAATCTTTTCAAATTCCTGCAATCAATGTATATTATTCAGTGAAAGATATTTTTAAAGATATCTTGGCTATTGGTACCATGAATTAATTTAGCATTGAAAATAGTGAAGAGCAAATAGTTTTTGTTGATTACCTTTTCATTAACAAGCAGTTTGACAACAAATTTGTTTTTCTGTTTTTTAATACAGAAATTCTAAACGGTGGAGTCTATGTAGACCAGAACAAATTCCTTTGTTATGCAGACACCATTCATTGGCAAGATATTGTTCGGAATCCATGGCCTTCCAACTTGACTCTTGTGTCAACAAATGGTAGTTCAGGATGTGAGTAGCATTATTCTTTTTAATGTCTCAAAATGTTGTTCTACCCTATGTGGAGGTAAATAAGTTATGCTTATCATACCATTACTACTATTTTGAACTTCAATTGCATTCATTGACATGTTCAGTCATATATGACAGCACAAATAGCTGACCAATCTTTTACTTCTAGTTCATTCTCTTTTGGAAATCATGTCTCCTCTTTACAAATTCTCATTTTGTTAACATGTTTCTCTTTGCTTCATTTAAATTACTTCATCATTCTTCCAGTGTCCAAACATGTATCCACCTATCCATAAACTTAAGGCTGGTGTCTAACTATTGCTTCAAGTCTGTGACCTATATACCATTGAGATGAAGATAGTAGAACAAAAATGGACCTTCCTAGTCACTGTTATTTTAAAAGTAAAACCTAGTGAATGTTGCAGAATTCTTAAGCCTTCATTTGCCCCTGAAGTCTTCATGGTCGTACTTTATAATAATCTGAAACACTTATGAAATGGAGAAATATAGATTTCATATAGAAGGAACATGTTACAGTCTGATTTTAGTCATTAGTCTAATAAACTACTGAATTTCTCCATCTTAAAATGTGTATTCTTTCTACCACAAAGAATTTATCATATTTAAAGTGTTTAATATGATTAAATAATAAGCAAATAATATTTGAACTATGATTTAAACCTTTGAAAATTATTCTGTCTGGTATCTGTTTCATTTTCATAAAACAGGCTATGGTGTTACCACATTTATTATTACATTTGTATGAGAACAGAATCTTTATCATGTGTTAACCTGGGTTTTATATTTCTCATCTATTACATATTTCCCAACTGAAATCATAACTGTTTCAACATAGTTCAATGATTATTTGCTATATTACTGATTGTGTTATGACATTTTTGTGGAAAATCAAACTCCATGGGACAATTATTAAATTTCATCATGGCCCTAATAATATACTGGGAAAATATGAATATATTTTATCAAAACTGACAGCTGTGTTTTTAATAAATGGCTAAAACTTTATGTAAAAAGTAGAGTAACATAATTTTCTTGTCACCTTTGAGCAGAAATTTGTATGGAATTTTGTCTTTATGGTATTCACATTGCCTACTTTGTAAAATTACATGTGAAAAAGATAGAATCTGTTCACATTAACAAGACAAATGATGTGTTTCAGAAATGGCTGCTGTTTTCAGTCTGTCCTTACTACTGCACATATTATATTGTCGGGGAGGAGGAGGGGTGGATATTGTTTGGGTAAAAGGAAAGACCTGCTGACTCTCATCTTAGCAGATTGACTAGTCTGTAATGCTTGAATAAGATCAGGCAAGAGTAAAGCCTGAGAGAGAAGCCAAAAGGGAAGTGTGCTCACCAGCCTTACAGAATTTGGAGCAGGAAAGGTCTGAGGGGTTTGTTGCACTTTCACAGATGGTGTCTCTTTGTGCTATTCTTTTGAAGACAAATTTGGATGGTTGTGCCTATAATTAGGCAACTGTGGATGTATTGTTTTTTGCATGTAAATAATTGCAGGTGCAAAAATTATAAATGCAGAGTAGAGTCATAACCAATGGACTTTTACAAATTAACTACCAATTAATTGCCAAAGTTTTATTATTTACATAGTAGTTTTATTTGCTGACACGTTGCATGACACCATACTAATAATGAATTGACTATTCTTTGACTGTTAGTTTCCTATGGTTGTATCTTTAGTCAATTTAATTCCTTGTCTTCTCCCCAGGCTTGATCTCAGACACTTTCAGGGTTTTAAATGCAACCTCTAGGTTGATGACTCCATAGAACTACATACCACCAACCAATCACTCAAATTAAAAATTTGGGGGGTCATTATTATCTTTACTTTCTTGTCTCTTGGCAGTTAGTTAATCACGAAGTCATCCTGATTCTTGCCTGTTTCTTGATTTTACATATTTATTATTGTGATTGGCCTAGTTTAAGACTTTATCTGTGTCTAAATTACTAAAACAAACTCAAAATTTTTAATATTTTTGAGGCAATGGACACTGTCGCAGCCTGGTGAAGCCCAGTGATCTCTTTTCACAATATTTTTAGAAGAATAAATGGGCACAAAATAAATATTGAATTCATGAATGCGTAGTGATCAATAAATACGTATAATAAATTACAATGGATTACAAGGAAAATAAATTAGATACAGATACATTTATCAAACTGCTTAAGAAACAAATACCTAATACGCTTCTTTCTTAGTACATTAAATTAAAAATACTAGCAGTAGGATTAATATATAATGTAATTCTCAAGCAGTGATAGGCATAAATAATATATTTTAAAGGGTCATCTCTTCAACAAATGATGTTGGGAAAATTAGATACCCATGTGCAAAAGATTGAACTTGGGCCCTTATCATATGCCATGTTCAAAAATTAACTCAAAAGCTAATTACAGACCTAAGCACAAGACTTAAAACTATAAAGTCTTGGCAGAAAATATAGGGGAAAGCTTTATGACCTTAGATTTAGCAATAAATTCATGGATATAACACCAAAAACACCATCAGCAAAAGCTAAAATAGACAAATGAGATGGTATCAAACTTAAAAACATCTGTGCATCAAAAGGTACAATCAACAGAATGAAAGACAACCTTAGAATGGGAGAAAATATTTGTAAATCATATATCTGATAAGGAATTGATATCCAGAAAAAATAATATATATATATATATACACACATATATATATTTATATATAACCTATAACTCAATTACCTGAAGCAAATAATCCTATTAAAAAGTGAGCAAAAGATTTGTATAGACATTTCTAAAGATGATACACAAATGGACAACAAGCATGGCCAGAGATGCTCAACATTGCTAATCATTAGAGAAAAACCAACCCAAACTCATGTCAAAACCACAGTGAAATATTGTCTCCAATTTATTAGGATGGCTAGCATAAAAAAAATAACAAATGCTGGTGAGGAGGTGAGGAAATTGGCATCCTTCTTCGTGGGATTGTAAAATGTGTGACCACTATGGAAAACAGTCTGGTGGTTTCCCAAAAATTAAATGTTATCGTATGATCCAGCAATCCCACTTTTAGATATATGACCAAAGGCATTGAATGCAGGTTCTCAAAGAGATATTTCCGTATCTATGCTCACAGCAGCATTATTCATAATAACTGAGAGGCGGAAGCAACCCAAATGTCATTGGTGGATGAATGGATAAACAAATGTGGTACATACATATAATGATAAAATATTATTCAGCTTGGAAAAGGAAGGAAATCTAGCCATATGCTACAACACAAATAAATCTTGAGGACACTATGCTAAAGAAAATAAGCCAGTCACAAAAACACAAATGTTGTATGATTTCATTTACATAAGGTAACGAAACCGTCAAACTCAGAAAACAGAAGGTAGAATGGTAGTTTCCATGGGTTGAAAGTAAGGCTAAATAGGCCATTGATCTTTAACAAGTATAGTTTCAATTGTTCAAGATTGAAAAATTTCTGGAGATCTGTTGCAAAACAACGTGAATATACCTATCATTACAAAACACACACTTAAAAGTGGTTAAGATAGTAAATATTATGTCATCTTTTTTTACTGCATTTATGAATAAATAATAGTATTTAAGACGGCTGTTAACAACTGGAAGGTAACCCCAATATATCTTTGGTTTCTGTTGGTTAGTGTGGCTAGTATTGCTAATACTACTGTGGTCTGGTCCTGATATTTGTAATTGATGATGGTGATTAACTTTAATAAAAGAGTTAATTAGAATATCAATGTAATGATTCCCCATTCAAATTCAAGGACCTCCTAAATTTTATCCACAGCCTTTTTAGGGATCCAAAGCCTCCTGGTTAAGAGCCTGTGTATTTAATTGCTCTCCTTGCTTCCAGTCCCAACAAATTTACCCAACAAAATGCCTACAAGAGCTCTATTTAATGGAATTTGACCAGGACTCTGTCTAAAAATCTTGTCACTGTGACTAACTAATATAGGATCAAGTCTGAACAAAATCCAGTTGGCTTGGAGTTTTCAGCAAATTCCTGCTCATTTCTCAACTCTATGGATTGAGTTCTTACAATTCCTTTGTTTGCACTACCCTTTCTCTTCTGTTTTCCAGACCAAATTTCAGTTATACTTTAAGACATTTATCAGATGTCGACTCTTTTAATAAGTGGTCTCTTCTTCAAGCTAGATTAGGTAACATTTCCCACGTGACCCCGTAATGACTGGAGTTGAAACCTGGCATTCTGTCTTACGCTTTAAAATGGAAACTCCTCGTAGACAAGGTCCAGTTCATCATTCTGTCCTCTGTTGTAGCGTGTAATGGATGGATAACAGATATTCGCGGAATGGATAGATACATAAATGAAATAGATAAATGTATGTCTTAGCCTGTTAGAGCTGCATAATGGAATGCTTAAGACTCAATAAATTATGAAGAACAGAAAAGTATTTTCTCGTAGTTCTGGAGGCTGAGAAGTCCAAGATCAAGGTGCTGGCATCTGGTCTGATATTTCATAAAGGCCTGGTCTCTGCTTCCAAGATGACACCTTGTGTGCTGCATCTTCTGAAGTGCAGAAGAAAGGAAGAGAATAAACCCACCCCTACAAGCTCTTCTTATAGCAGCATTAATATATTCATGACCTAAACACTTCCCATTAGGCCTCCCACCCAATACTGTTTCATTAGGGATTAAGTTTCAATATGAGTCTGGGAGGAGACAAAAGCATTCAAACCCTAGCAGTTTATAAACAGGAAAATCAGATGAATCTAAATTATATTTTAAACCATCATTAATAAAAAAGAATAAATGTAAAGTAAAAGTTATAGCCCAGAGACTGGTAGTTTATCCACTTTTAGATAAAGACAACATGTATCTATGAGCTTGATTTAACATATATAAGTTATATTTTTATTATATTATATGTATATTCTATTTTATAATATAATAAATGTAAGGTAAAATATATATACCTATTTTTCCTTAACGTT